AAACCTTTTTATCATATTCATACACATTACTATCTATCACATTACAAAAAACACATACAAAATCAAATATAATCTTCTTCTCAAGAGACAATATTTTATTTTTTCAGAGTTTTTGTTTTCTGCTAATGATAACTAGTACTAGATTTATCATAATCTTCTGGCTAGTTATCAGTTCTTGCCAAATTTTTTCACACAAAAACCGAATCCAGCTTATCCCTACTAAAAGATCGATATCTACAATACATCAATAATATTTCATATTACAATATCAATAACAAAAACACCAAAACAACTATATATATTATCAAAATCACCACAAATTACAAACATAGCTGGATTAGAAGAGTGTGTGATCAGTGCCCTACATGGGTTCCAGCTATATAACCTATCAACTTTTTATACCAATATTTCAATTTATCCAATTATATCCACCATCTCTACCATATTTACGTCATTGTCAACAATGGAGTAGTATACTGGAAGAAATAGCCAGATCAATTGTTGAAACAAATTTTATATTTTTCCATATTTACTTTTCTTTATAATTTTATTTTTATTTCTTTACTTCTTTTACAAATCTGAAGCCCTTAGTTTTTCTTTCATTTTTTAAGTAAATAGTTCCTTCCTTTTTTTTCCTTGTAATAAGTTTTTTTTAGAAATATATCTACTTTATAGGTAGTAGGCTAGTATGCATAGTAATCCATCTCTAGATTTAGAAATTAATTATGTATTGATAAAATTCATACTCAATTAATAAAATCACGTAAAAATTAAATTGCCATGGGAGCAGATAAAACAGTTTTAACACGAGATTCATCTCCAGAAGCAACAGCATAATGAAAATCTCTCAATAAATTATCGACATCTTCCATACTTTGTGGACGAATATCTGCTAATTCCTTAATCTTTGCAGTAATCTTCTTAACTTGGTCGTCGTTTAAACTAAGCCCCAATTGCTCCACTCGATTTTTGACCGCATTCCATCCTGTTAAACGATGCCCAATTGAAACATATCGCGTCATACTATTTTATGTAATATTAAGAAATTGGAAATTGTTAAATTACGAAAACAATGAACAAATATTTATATATTAATATAAAAAAATTACCCGAAATCCTCGGGCTTCAAAATCTCATATGTACTCGGGTTGTTTAAGATAGCCTTAGCGTGGATACCAGCTTTGTGTGTGAAAGCGCAATAACCAGTAATATAGTTATTAAAAGGAAC